CTCTCCGTGTATATCCATTTAAAAATCGAAAGTTTGTATGATAAGTTCAAAACATTTATTTTGTACTCTTATAAGTGGCATTTTATATCCTAATTAACCATGCAAAATTTTATGTGTCTATTTTTATAAATAAAAAAATTACAGGGGTGCGCCTATTCTCAGATACACCCGGTATACAGGGTGTTACCTAATAAATTATCATCCTTTGGGGGATGATAGTACACGGCAAAATAAGAAAGTTTCACTTTTGTTGACAACTTATTTGCTGACACCCTGTATATAGGCATTTTCATAATTAAAAAAATCGGCTTTGCTTTGAATTTTATTGTAAAAAGGTAATAATATAATTTATTTCATTTATTTTTATGGTATACAAGATTGTACTTATTTGGTGTAACCTAGGTTTGACTGTAGTCTCCTAAGAGCTTCTGCAAGCCGATAAGTCAACGAAAAAATTCTTTCCAAAGAAGCTAATACATATTTTCTTTTTAAATCTGTCAGGAACTAGCATTAACGTGTTGTCGATGAATAGCACTATAAAAAACATTGCTATAACAGGAACATGCCAAGTATAGTCGTAGTATCTACATAGATTGATCAATCTAAAAGCGTTGGCTAGTTGGATGAAGTTGGTTATGAAGAAGAATAGTAGAAAGAATAGACTCAACCATATCCATTTCAAAAAGCCCAGCGCTATATCTATAATATAACTTTTTAAGGGTTTAAACCTGTAAAATTTCTGTTCTTTTTCGAAGGGGAATAAATATTGAACCATTGATTTTTGAATCAATACTAAGATTTCGTAGCAGAAAAATTGGTATCTAAACGTTAACCATATTTGATCAGTAGGCCATGTTAGTAGCACAGCTGATAAAGCTATGAAAAGGATGTCGTGAAATTCCCACCTTTCTTTGATCCTTGAACCGCTCACTTTTAGGTTAACTTCAGCAATTGTCCGGGTAAAAACTAAGATGAAATATAGTAACTCTAAAGGTTTGAAGTAGACCTGCAGGTTGATGAGTATAAGGATAAAACAGGCCATATTAGATATTAACTTAAAGTTACAGTTTTTTAGAAACGAGACGTATGTATTACCTAAGATTACTCTGGGGTAAGTACGACTGAGTCTTGGTAAAGTCATTTCAATATTCTGTAAATCTTGATCCCTTTTTAAAATGTCATTTTTTAACTGCTGTATTCTGTTGTCATTGCTATTGGTATTTCTCTCATACTCATTTAAATTTTTCGATAACACTTTCATTCTATACCTCTGATTCGTTAAAGAGTTCTCGTGCAGACTGATCAGCTCACTTAATTTCCTCAAATATACTTCATTTTGTTCCTCTAGAGTCTTGTATTCGCTCGATAACTCTTTCCATTCCTCGAATACACGAAAGTAAAAAGCCATGATGCTTTCACCTTGTCATCAGCACCGAACAAAACTCGACAATCAAACACTACAAGGTATCAAAACCGATAAGTGGTTGATATCGCGATAATAGATTTGATTATATTGTTATAAGTGTATAACTGTGATAAGATTATGACTATAGTCAAGTAAACTGTGAACTGGTAAAACAGGTAACTTACTTTATATGGGGCATTCCACGCCAAATCGCATGGTTTAAAAAAAATTTTTTTTTATTCCTCCAATTTTTTTATATTTTTTAGTACTCCTTAAAAGAGCTTTCTTAGTAAATTTTGAGATTTTTTTGATCACGGGTTCAAAAGATAAAATTTTCAAGAAAACTGCTTTTTTTGTTTTTTGCTAATAACTTCTTAAAAAATGGTCCAAATCAAAATGTTCATTCTATATAAAATTTTCGTTTTTAAATGTACTTTTCGAAAAAAAATATATTGAAAATATTTGAAGCGTTTTAAGTCAAGATTTTTGAGTTTTAAAGTTTAAATCGTGTTTTTAAAAATGTGTGTCTTCTTCGATTTTCGCCAAAAATTTTTATTTTTAACTTCTATCTATTCAACAACTATTCAGCCTGGTCCGGTCCGGTGGGTCTTCCATAATTCCTATTTTTTTTCGAAACTTATATTAATTTTTAGAGAATTTTTTTTATTTTGAAAAATCGAAAAAAAATAGTAATTATGGAAGGCCCACTACCGGACCAGGCTGAATATTTGTTGAATAGATAGAAGTTGAAAATAAAATTTTCGAAGAAGACACACATTTTTAAAAACACGATTTAAACTTTAAAACTCAAAAATCTTGACTTAAAACGCTTTAAATATTTTCAATATATTTTTTTTCGAAAAGTACATTTAAAAACGAAAATTTTATATACAATGAACATTTTGATTTGGACCATTTTTTAAGAAGTTATGAGCGAAAAACAAAAAAAAAAGTTTTTTTTAATTTTGAACCCGTGATCAAAAAAATCTCAAAATTTACTGAGAAAGCTCTTTCAAGGAGTACTAAAAAATATAAAAAAAGTTGGTGGAATCAAAAAAAAAAATTTTTTTATTCATCCGATTTGGCGTGGAATGCCCCATATATTATTTTATATTCACTTTAATTAATTTATGAAACAGTTTTAGATTTAATTACTTGGAAATCAAGGAGTGTTACCAATCTATGTTTAATTGTACATTGATAAAAATGGTATCCTTGTGGCAACAAAATCCATTCATTTGGAAAATATTGATTCACTTCAAAGATGTAAAAATAAAATTTTAAATCCGTTTCCCTTTGGATAAGATAATTGCTGCATTTAGGTGTAATTCTCGATTATTTTGACATTTAATTACTTTAAGGCAAAGTAAAGGCATTTAGGCAAAATAAATTTTCAATTCATGTCTTTCTGCCAAAATTTAATGTTATTGCTAGAAATTCCACGGTTTTGTATGATATGTATATGTATAATTAATTATATGCTTTACCAAATAATTTTTTTATAAAATTATTATTTTTTATAAAATTATTTTTCTATAAAATTATTTTTTTTTGTAAAAAATTTTATAAAATATTTTTTTATAAAATTATTTTTTTATAAAATATTTTTTTTATAAAATTATTTTTTTATATAAAGTAATTTATACGAAAGCGTACTGGGGTCACAAAATTATAATAAAATTATTATTTTCAATATATTGGATTTATTTTTAATATATTGGAAATAAATCCAATATATTGAAAAAAATAATTTTATTATAATTTTGTGACCCCAGTACGCTTTCGTAAATTTATATAAAAATTTTATAAAATATTTTTTTTATAAAATTATTTTTTTATAAAATAATTCTTTTTTAATTAATTTTTGTATCTACATTTATTTTGATTTTTAGTTTTTAACAAGAATTCTTTGTGTTTAAACGTTTTTTATAAGAAAGCACTTTTAGTTAAATGCAAAACAAATAATGATTTACACCTTTAACTAATAATTAACTGTTAAAAGTGATTACGTTACATAAATATCTGAATTTTTAAAAGTAAATTAACTTAACCTTTAATTCGACACCGGGACTCGCATGCGAATTTTGTTGGCGCCTAAAGCCTAATTTAAAGATTGCCTTTCTTCTTTTTTCCCCCTTCCTCCCGTAAAAGATAAACAATACGAACACGGTAGTGTTGTTTATAGATTTGGTACCCTATAGGGTATACAACAGCACTATGGTTTTCTTATTGTTCATCTTATACGGGAGGAAGGGAGAAAGGAAGGAAGGCAATCTTTAAATTAGTTAAAGGTGTAAAATCATTATTTGTTTTTCATTTAACTAAAAGTGCTTTCTTATAAATGTAGATAAAAAAATAAATAAATTAATAAAAATAATAAATTGTTATTTTCAATCGTTCCCCCAAATTGCGTCAAACAAAAGCCCAGTCCGTTATAAAATTGTATCTGGGGAGGGGCGTTCGGGTCCACTCGGGTTTACTCGAGTGTCTACAAACAAATAGAGATGGCTGCAGTAAAAATTAATTTATAAATGCGCCCGTCGTCTTTTATAAAATAATTTTTGATTCGCAGAAAATTATTTTATAAAAAAATAATTTTATAAAGAAATAATTTTATAAAAAAATTATTTTATAAAAAAAATATTTTATAAAGAAATAATTTTATAAAAAAAAATAATTTTATAAAAAAATAATTTTATAAAGCATATAATTAATTATTTATAAAAGAAAATAAGTTTATTTGGCACTTTTAATTTTGACACAAACGGCGCGCCGCGGCGCCTCATAGTTTTGTGCCAAACTAAACTGATAAACGGATTATTTTAGACAAAAGAATCCATTCATTTGAAAATTATTCTTTTAGTTTACAGAAAGTTAACTTGTTGCAAATTCCTTGGTATTCGGCTAAAATAGCTCATTTGAGGCAAACTCTCGATTGTTTTGGCTAAATCCTTCTTAATAACTTTATTTCAAAAACACAGTATTTGGAGGGGCCCTACCCCCCTTCAGTTATTCCACGCGACGCGTCGACAGTACTTTGTGTTCATCGAATAATTATTCAATTATTTTCAAAATTTGAAGATAAGTACCAACGCGGGTAATTTTTTCAAAATCAAAGCTAAAGAAATTTCAGGCTTTGGTTCAAATGTTCATAGATTTTGAACAAGAAATCCAAATTTTGATACAAATAACCAAATTCTTTTAATCAAACGCTTATGGATTTAAAATAAAAAATCCAGACCTCCGACTTTTGCTACAAATTTTTAAGAACAAGAACCTAAGATTTTGTTGTAAACCCTCTTTTCTTTATTTCAAATTACTTAAGCCTTTGATCCAAATCAGTACCGAGTTATTAATAAAAGCACGGCCTTTAAGGACCTTTAATAATGATAATGAATGATCTCAAAGAAATGACGTATTTGTTTCAAATCCTTCATTCATTTGGACTCATCCAAAGTCCCCATTCCTTTGAGGAAATGACAGAATTTAATGGAGAAAAGGTTTCTTTTTTTCAGTGTATGTTAAAAACCTAGGACCCACTCATTCAGCTACACAAGTAAAACTTTTACAAAATTTGCAGAAAAAATAGACTCACCTCTACATACTCCCTCGGTGTCTCCCTGGTGCTTGTATCGGCATAAAAGTCCGCGTTGCACGTCGCAGGGGCGATCCCCCCCGCAAGGCTCCCCCGCCTGCCGAGGGCACTCCTCGCACCCCTCACAATCCTGCTGCAGCTGCAGCTGCAAGCTGCCCCCCGAAGCCGTCACGCAGCTGCACGGAACAGGACACTTCGATTCTCCCTGATGTCCTTCCTGCAACAATTACCACCTTTAACGACACGGCTTTCTACCAGGATTACAATGGAATTTGTATCAAAGTAAAAACACTTTGAGACTAAAGACGTGCTGCTGTGTAGCAGGAATTTTAAGATGTGCTCGGGATTACCGTCACGAAATACATTATAGCACAAGAATGTTGTATTTATGTACGTACATACAAATTGCCCTCGCCTAGGTTAAACGTAGGAGCTTTAAACATTGCTATGAGACGATAGAACATTGTTGTCTTAAAACATTTAAAAATCGTTTGTCCGACTGTCATACTTCAGGGCGCCATTTTGTTAAAGTAAAATTTAAACAACTAGTTCTGTACCCCAGAGCCAAAATCTCCAGCAACCACTACATAATTCCACTTTAGCGGGATTACCTTCCGGCTGGACTGTGAACAGTAAATTTGGTGCAACTTCCTTTATGCTCTTCCTACTATTTGCATCAAAGGCATTGAAAATGGCTTCTTTATTTTCCGCTGTTCTAATACGTTAAGAAGCGACTTTAATTTCGTTACATCGCAGATAAACTTTACAGTTCAGGGAACAATCGGGAAGGAAAAGATCACTTAAAATAATAAATAATAACAGGAACAAAAATTAACAGCATGCTTAATATCTTCTTGCAGGAAAAAAGTGTTGTAATTTTTTTATGCTCAAAATAACTTTCCCTACAGCGTGATATGTTGTTGGTCCGCCCTTTTAGCGACACCTTGTATATCAGTATGATTTTTCTTAGAAACTACTTTACTTTAGAACTATTGACGATTTTGTTTTACAATTTTTCTTTTCAGAAAATAAATATATTTATATTATAATAACACCGAAACCTAAACATTTTGAAGAATGAAGAATGTAGAATAGGAAAAATTGATTTTTTATTTTATGTCTATCTGGACTGCCGTTAAAGAATAGTTTTTTTATATTTTATATACCTAGGTAGGTATTCTTTATTTTTAATAATAAAATATTTTCCTGCAATATTACAGTTTTATTACAATGTCTATGTTTCTTTAAGTTATTTCAGAAATATTTCTAAGAAATGTTTCTGGGAGGCGGACATTTTGACATTACTGCAATATTTCTGCAACATTTCCTGAAACATTACATTTGTTGCAAAGAAACATTTAAGAAACGTTTCAGAAATAGTATGTGCTATCTGGGCAGTGTCACAATGAAGTAAATTCCAATCGACCAAATATTTTACATAATATAATATCAAAAAGCATCCTAAGTATCCTAGCAATTTAAAGAATTCCCTACAGAGCAAAAAATTTGCCCGTGTAAATTTTCTAGAGTTAAAATCTAGGGTAAACGTATGCATTAATTTAACTCTAAAATCCAATCTATTTTTCATCTAGGTAACTCTTTTTGAACTCTAACTTTAGATTAAATATATTTTACACTATTTAGTCACAATGTAACTATTTCTATTATAAAAACGTTTACAAAATTAGAGTAGATATTTTCACTAAATCAATTAAATTATAACTTTTGTAGAGTTATTTTTAAATCTGCTACCTGGAACATTTTTATCTAAATATCTCTAATAAATTCTTATTAGTGCATATTTTAACTCTAAAATGTGTAGATTTAACTCTATTTAGTGTGACTGGCTCACACGGGGTGTTTCTCTTTCCATTCTACTAGCGTGCATTTGTTCATTGTTTCATTGGAATTTGGCAGTGTTACATTGATTTTATGTGCATTATTAGTATTAGTAAGTACATTATTATAATAATTATTATTCTTTTATTTATGTATTTAAGGTAAATTATATAGTTAAGACGTTGCAAAGGCATAAATAAAACAATCATTAATAATAAAACGTCTTAAATTCTTGTATACTACTACACATTCCTTATAAAATTATCATACTCTATACTAAAGAATATATACACGATTATAACCTATAGGTATACCTTCATATTTTATAATACATTTTTTATAAATTATAATTTGTTTGTACACTGAAAAAAATAAGCTGTTGAAACAACAAAAAAAATATTAATTCAACTCTTTATGCACTTTAAATACAAGCAATGGTTTTTGCACGTTTACTTAACCATCTAAAAATGTCAAATTGTATTGTTTAATTGAACAGCAAATAACAGTCAAATGAACAAAATAAGAATATTTGTTCTAATCTGCTAATTTGGTTAATTTGACATTCTTAGGGTGTTAAGGTAAATATTCACTTAACACCAATAAAATGTTAAATTAACATTCTGAAAAAGTAAAATTCTTTAAAGGTTGGTGTCCAAAACAAAATTATGGAAATAATATATTATTATATATAAATAGAAAGAATTGAACCTTCACCTCGCCCAGAGTTTTTGTTTTGAGCGTGTTCCACCCATGATACATCTTTGTATCATGTGTTCCACCTACTTCAAATACCGACAGACTGTTTCGCCGTGTATTGAGGGTCTTAACAGTGTCGGGCAATATGGTGTAATGAAAGTTCTACTGTGGAACACACCTTAAACAAACAGATATCTGATCTTATATACACCTAATCGTAAGCCAACTAAGGCGAGATGTAAGAAAACGTCATTGTCTAATGACGTGGCGTGAGTGTTCGAAGCGCCATTCTCGGCAATTTTATGAATGCAAATTTTACATTTTAAATTTTAAAGTAACATTTTAAATTTGTTAAATGAACAAATTTAAAGTTTTGGATTAAAGAGCAACTAAACGTTAATTTAATAGTTTTTTTAGGTAATCCTAAAAATTTCAGTAGTTGATTCAACAAATTCCAGCTATTAAATCAAAGTACGATAAACATTTTAATTCAAAATATTAGTTTATGTTAAATTAATATTTAAACTGTCAAATAAACAAATAAACTTTGACAAACTCTGACTTTTGCTTTAACACCAAAATATAGATTAATCCAATAGGTTTTTTGTTGAAACAACATTTTTAAAAATGACATTTAGGCAAATGTTAACTCAACTACATTATTTTTTTTCGGTGTATACCCTTTCCCATTAAAAACACGATATAGTGTAAATTAAAAATTATTTACACTAAATATATTTAAATAATATTATATTATAATGAATTATTTAATCTATTTTTTGTTAATATCTTATTATCAGATTTAACACTAAAATGTGTAAATTTGTCTCTAGATTAGTAAAGTAATTTAGTGCTAAATTAACCATTTTTAATTGTTAAAATAGTAATTTAACAAGAAGTTAAATAACACGATTTAGAGTAATTTTAACACTACGATGGTTATTAAAAATAGCACTATTTAAAAGTTACACTGCAATGCACACTACTGTTAGTGTAAATAATTTTAATTTTCAAGTATGTGTTTCGGCACGTGCCCTTTTTCTCTGTGGAGAAATTCTGGGACACCCTGTATAACATACTATTTATAAAACTTTTGGTCGTACACTGAAAAATGCAGGTTTTTGTGAGAGCCCGCCATAACTTGTAATCCGTATTAAATACAAAACACGGAGATAGCATTCTGTGAGATTTATGAGGGCAATTTGTAATGCGCGGCCCTTCATTGTTGCCTGTAAAATATGCTTTGTCGGCTAATAAAGCACCTCTGATAATTTTTATTATTGTCACCAAGAAAAACAAATGCCCCTCTCGTCGTTGACAAAGCACCTCTTAGGCAATTGAATAGAGATTAAGTTCGAGCAAAATTGTAAATCCATCACCCGAATAATTGAGTGTCAAATTGACGTAGCGAATGAAAAATGGGAAAAGTAGACGCCCCTTGCCTTAATGCGCCCCGCGCTTAGATCTAATGAGCGAAGTCAAGTTATGCGATCCATCAAAACGTGTTAAATCTCCGCTACCTTAATGTATACCTTCATTTATAATCATTTAAGACCTTTTACTGCTACGTGATTAATTCGTCATAGTGGATAAAAGACTTGTATAAAAATAAAATCGTTTTCCCTAGAAATATTTTTGTTGTTGATACACACACAGGGTGTCACCAAATAAGTTGTCATCCTTTAAGGAGATGATAGTACACGCCAAAATAAGAGTTTCCTCTATCATGTTTGCATTAGTGCCATTTTTTTATATAAATAAATCATTAACATTTTTATAAGTAAAGTAAAAATTTTGGGCCGCCACCGGTTGTTCCTGACCTATGACAACTGACGCAAAATATTCTGGCACAGTGGGCAATAATATACATTAATTAAAAATTTACATTTATGTTATCATTGATTACTTTGTTAATAATTGTTTTTGTTTTGCATACTTAGCTATTTTTAGGTAGGTACTTTAAATACTTACTTTTATTGTTAATAGGTAGGTATATCGAGGTTTCCGTGGTTTTCCCGTCGATTTTAAATTTTACCTTTCACTTTTTCCGTCTATTGATGCTCATGTAGCTATTTTTTTAAGTGTTCCACAAAATCATATTAAATGTTCAACTATCCCGCCGTTATTATCCACACAAAGTTGACAGCGGCGTTGAAAATTATGATGTGTTGCTCTTGCTATCATATCCGGATGATTTCGGATTTCATCAGCCCTGCCGTGACAAGTTCGCGAAGTTGTTCTAATGTGTCAACTTCTTGTACACTTAACTGTTCATGTAGCCTCAGAAAAACCACAATAACAACCAAACTGTCAGTAATCAATGATAACAAAGTACCTACTAACCGATTTTAAATAAGTTTAAAAGTTTGCTTAATATTACATAATATACTGTGCGCATACCTGTTTCTTTTTTGCTTGGATGAATAATATCATTGTTTTTAGAAGTAAAAACAATAAGGATATTGTTAATAAATTGGATTAAAAAAATTATTAAAGAATTAGCCATTAATAATAATTATCCCCCTGAATTAATTGACAAACTCATTAGAAAATACAACTACAGAATACTTAGAAACACTGCATTTATAAATTCTAACGACCCAAAAAAAGAGTACGTTTCCATACCATACATAGGCACAATATCAGAAAAAATCAGTAAATTCATAAAACCATTAAATTTGC